ACACCTATGTGAATCTACTTTTCATATTTATTCTCTACCCCAAATTTTACCTACAGAATCACAAAAGCAGTTAATTTTGGCTGATACACTTCAAGATAATGTGTACGCTCAACTTAGAATTAATTCCACAAAAGAAGATGTTTGAACAGCAAACATAACTGCCAAATGATTTGACCCTTGAGTTATTTTTGTAATGAAAAGAAACAGGTGAAAACTCATTTTACCTTGATAATATAAAGAACAAATTTTCATGTAATACTGACAGAAGCTAATCTTTTTTAAAGCAACAGCACTCCCTTATTATTGGTTCAAACAGTCAGCTTCCAAGATGGCCTCCAATTGGTCCACAGAATGCCCTTCTCTCTCTTTCTATCTATCTCTCACACTCCCACACACACTCTTATACTCATTCTTTCTCACACACTCTCACAGACACTTTTTCTTCCACAAACTCTCTCATACACACATTCTTTCTCTCACACACACATTCTCTTTCTCACACACTCACACACACTCAATCTCTTTCTCATATTCTCACTTGCACACTCTCACACATGCACTCTCACACTCTTTCTCACACACTCTCTCTCATACTCTCTCATATACTCACACACTTTCTCTCACAAACTTACTCACACACTCTCATATACCCTATCTCACATTCTCACTGGCATAGTCTTTCACACATGCACTCCCACAAACACACTCTCATGCTCTCTTTCACAGACTTTCACACACACACACACACACATTCTCTCTCACACACATTCTCTTACACATACACGCATGCTTTTCATTTAGTATATGTTAATTAATGATTCTCTTTAATATGATGAATTTTTAAAACACAGGGATTCTACATTCAGCTAGCTCAGCACTGAATATAGTGATTCATGTAATTAAGTTCTGGCAGATTAAAAAAATGCATTATGACCAAACAACAAACACATTCTGTACAGTGCTTTACAGTTGACAGTAACTTTGGTAAATGTTATCTCACCCAACCTCACCACAACTCATTCAGCCGGGACATGGTTATGCACTAAATTGTGTTCCCCTCCAAAATTCATATGTTGAAACCTGAGCCCTGGTACTTCAGAATATGACTGCATTTGGAGACAGGGCTCGTTAATTATGTGGGTGGGCCCAGTTCTATCTGACTGGTCTCCTTTGAGAAGGAGGCTCAGGATCCAGGCACTCGTGAGCACGTGGGGAGAAAATGGCCGTCTACAAGTCAAGGAGAGAGGATTCAAAGGAACACCCTGATGTCAGATTTCTGTCACACAGTAATGTGAGAAAATAAATGTCCATTGTTCAGGCTGTCTTGTCTGGGGCACTCTGTTTCAGCAGCCCTCGCAAATGAACCCAGACATTCCACCGAGGTGAGGTAATGAGGTCCATGACTCCTTACTGAGCAGGCCTGGGACCTGAATCTAAAACTTCTGACTCTGTACAGGCCTCAGCCACATAAGCATTTTGGTATCTAGAAACAGAAGTTTATTGAACACGTTTTGCTTTTATTTTATGGTCTTGACTTTATGTTACTAGGTTCACTTTGTAAGTCTTTTCAAATAGAGTTTATGAAGTCAGTTAGGACCAAGTCTAAAATCTTACTAACTGCTTTGTTCATAATGAAATGAATGAAGATTTAAAATAAGCAAATTCTGTGGTGCTTCAGTTATTTTGAGGACAGTAGAGGTGGGAAAAAAATCCACTGTATTTCTGTTTGAATTTTTTTTTTTTTTTTTGGGCAGAAAACATGGGTCACATGAAGAACCTGACATAGTCCACTCTGCTCCGCATTTCTAGTCATCACTCCAAGGCAGATTTATGAAAAGCAATCTATTTGGAACATTAAGAAGGTGGCAAAAGATTATCAGAGATTAAGTGGCATGATTTGGAAAATGTTAATAACAGTTCAAATTGGATGATAAAAACGTGGAATTCATTTTACTATTGTGAATTATTTTAAGTGAGTTTGACATTTTTTCATAATTGAAAAATAAAGGAAAACGTCTCCACCAAAACTTGTCCATGGACTGCTGACTTCAACTTTTGGCAAGTGTAATTACCCATTTCCGGATGGACACAAGTACAGAGAAAGAATTTGGATCTTACTCTATTGCTGAAGCAAGAGGAGAAACTTGGGGCTTTTATGGGGAGCTGGGTAGGGCTCACCTACTACCTTGTCTATTTCATAAACTTTTCTCTCAACAACACACTCTTTTTCTTGAAAGGACCTGGAGTCCTTTTCAGAGAATAAAACTTTTAGTTACGACTTAGACTCAGATTGTGAAGTAAGATGAGTTGACTAGAAGCAAGACTGACCAACAGAAAAACAAGTTACGTGGCAAAATGATTTAAGAACTAGGGCAACAGAACTGGCCAGAGGACGGGGCTCTGGGCAGAGGGGCACAGGGAAGCTAGGCGGCAACATCAGTCAAGGGCAATCAATTGTCTTTGACCTTACCCCTGGGTGTAGTCATTGCCGTGGGTGTGACACAGTGGAGGGGAAACCATTCCACTGTGGTTGTAGGGCCAGGAGGCATGATGTGAAATCCAACTACAGATGACAGAATCCAAGACTAGAGCAGCAGCTTCTAGTAGGGGAGGCTGAAAGCACACAGAGGACAGTGCCCTGACTTAGGCTGTGCGGTCCCTACACCATGGCTCACCAATCTGGTTCTCCTCCTGTCTGAGCCTGCCCCCTTGTCTTTGGGACCTGATGCTCTTCCTTCCTGTGGCCACATTCCTGCCTTGCCCATTCTTTGATTCTTGCCGTTCATCCCCTCTTTTATCATGTTGCCTGAGGTAATCACCTTTTTTAATGCTTCTTGCTTCAGCAGAAGGTTTACTAATATCAGTAAAACTGATAGAAGCATCTCTTACATGGAGGACAAGACTAGTGAAATCAGGATAAAAGAGGAGTAGAATCAAGGTCAGTGAGTCAGAGACCGTATCCACACAGACGGCCAAGATAAAACGGGAGGTACGGAGAGACACAGGTGGAGAGCGATGGAGACCAGCAGAAACAGACCTAGATGATTAAGCCGGGAGCACTAGGTTCAGCAGCCAGGAGCTCACCGTTACCTAGGAAAGTGACCTCAAGACTTGAGGTTGGGACCACCTACAACTCATTTTGGAGTCACCCTCGAGTCTTAAGTCACAGGAAGGAAGAAGTGTCCCCTCTATTTAAGAGGCCAGGACCGGGATTGGCAAATCCCTTCTACTTGACCTACAGTTGGAGAAGAACGATGCCATTATCTTTCCAGCCTGGAAGAGGACAGTTCTCTTCCTATGGCCAATTTGCCAAGAACATCTCGTTGCTCCTTTGTTCGTGAATTTGTGTACCTATGAGCAATATATTACACAGCTAGTGGGTGCGAGATACCGAGGTTCCCACAGCGATGCACTCTGTGTCTTTGAGGAGTTTCCCTGGGGCGAGATGCACAAAAAAATACATAATTTCTATGCAAAATTATTTATGGAGAAAGGGATGTGTGTTGGCCTTGAGATACATTGATTAGAAGAAATCTGGGCATGGAAGCCATTCTCAGTTGAATTAGTGACCCGTGCCATAATGGTGCCGAGTCACAAATGATCCTGAAATGTTGTGCATGTGATAATCAGCACACATGTGCTCCTGAGTTTGCACTCAGGTCATCTAGCCTGGTCCTGGCTGGTGTTTCTTCTGACCTCAGCTTGCCTTGCTCACGTCGGGAGTGAAATGTCCGTGGCAGATTGAGGATGGCCTCAGCTGGGTTGACTCCTTCTTGATCCATGTGTCTCCTGTCTTCTGGCGGACAGTGGGCTAGCCTGGGCACAGGCTCACATTGGTGGTGGACGTCAGAGAGACCCAAAACCCTGATGGCTAAGTGCCACCTGCCACAACAAATCACACGGCCAAGTGGGAGCTGAGAGTGAGGGGACGCTGCAGAGGGGTGGGGGGGAGTCAAGTCACTGAGGTGATCCTGCTAACACACCACCCGGGGGTCCAGCAAACTGGCTGCCATCTTGGTTCTGTCACCAGCATTCACAGTGAAGGAAGGTCTCTTACTGTGCTGTCAACGAATAGGGTATTTAAGAATATCTCAAAAAGGAGAGACAGTCCTGGGGAGCTGGGTATTCATACTTGACTCAGGACAGACTAGGGTCATTTGAGCTGCAACAGCTCCCTGGGGTTTCTGAGAATCTGTTTTTCATTTTGTTTTTGTTTTAGAGAGAGAGGACATGCATGTAGGTGTGTGCAGGTGCGTGCGGGGGGAGGGGCTGGGCCATCAGGGGAGGGGGAGAACCTTAAGCAGGCTCTGAGCCCACCCAAGATTATGACCTGAGCTGGAAGCCAGTCAGATGCTTAATCCCCCAGCCCCACAGCTGCCCCAATAATCTGTTGTTTTGTGCTGGCTTCTTTTGGCACCGCCAGGCTCAGAGACACATCAGATCAGGGAGAGCAAAGGGTTCCACTGTGGGAAGGAGGAGCAGGGCAGTGGGCAGAAAGGGCCACACCACAGCTTTTGGGACTCCCATCTCAGACTCTTCTTGTAGGGTCTCGGGATCGTGTGGGGGCAGCACTGAGAAACAGATTCCTACCAACCCGGGGGAGTTAGACAAAACAAATCCCACTTCTCTGTGCCCCAGAAAAGGGCACCGCCTTGATAGCTCCAAAGAAATGGTTGTCCCAGAACGCAGGGGTCCCTCTGCTGTCTGTGGATCTCATCATTAGCCCCAGGGAGACAGCATGAGAGCACCAGGCAGGTCCTTAGGCTACTTAGGGAGAGGCTAATCTGATGTATCATCTGTAGAGAGAGAGCAAAGGTAACCCCCTGACCGCCCCTAGAATCAAAACCACATCAGCAAAGGGAGCCAACATTTCCAAGAGAGTTACAATTTAGTAGGTGTAATTATACGTCTAAGCCTCCTGACCTATTTTGGATCCTTGAAATAAATTTGGTTTATTTCCAGACTTAATTATCCAGTGTAGATTTTGTGTGTGTGTGTGTGTGTGTGTGTGTGTGTGTGTAGAAAACTTAAATTATCTTTCATAATGTGTATTTATATCTTATATATAAATGTTGTATGTGTACATATACACATGTATATTTACATACATGCAGACATGTTCCATATATATCTATGAAAATTCAATCAAATTAACTAAGATTCTCAAAAAATGTCTTTTAGTATTTGGATAAAATAAGCTGAATTACCTAAAGGGAAATATACTTCCTTCTCCCCTACACACTGTCTTTTTAACAGAGAAAAATCCTGCCGCCGCCGTGTCGCCGTGTCGACAGCAGAATGTCCGGCACTGTACTATTTGCCAGCTGTGCACACACTGGCCAGTTACTCCATCTCTGTAACTTACAAAAGGGCAATATTAATTATGCTTATGCACAAGGTATATACTTATACACAAGAATGTGTAGCTCAGCACAGTTCCCACTGTGGGCTGGACGGCCCCGGTGTCATCAAGACTCCGGCACTGACTTGGTGATTCAGACGTTGAACTTCCCAACATTTAATGTAAATAACATTCACTAAGTGCCTACCCTGCATGGAGTTCTACAGACTCTGCACGGATACAAAAAAGAAAGTGGTATGTGGAACTTGCCTTACATATAAGAAAACAGTATTTCATAATGAAACGATACAAAAAACCCCCACAAAAGTCAAGGGCGCCAGAAAGAGCTGTGAGCCGTGATGGGCAGAGCAGAGAGGGTGGGCATCTAAGTGGAGGTTGAACTCGGGTTCCTTGTAGGGAAAAAAGGATTTTAAGTAGTGACAAAGCAGGGAACATTCCCGGCAGAGAAATAACTTGAGGAACTTATGGAAGTTGGGAAAATCGAGTGGCATTTTGTCTCAGTACCCTTACAAAGGTCAGAGAAATGAGCTCCATGATATAATTCATACCAGGTGATTCACAGGTCGTACGTGAATTGCCATATATAATTCACATATAATTATGCTTAAACATTTATGATTATTTGCAGAGTCAACACACATTTTTGTGAGTACATATTATCTTTAGTAATATCAAGTCCTCACTACAGTAAATGAATGCAAACAGACTCATTTACTAATTCAATGAACATTTATGTGGCGCTACTGGGGGGCCAGGGACAGTGGAAGGAACTCGGAGCACAAGCAAAGGTGCAGAGCCGGCTCCCGAGAAGTGTGCAGCGGCAGATGGAGGGAGAGAGACACATCCACAGACCATGCAAAGCTGCAGGACCATCCAAGGAGGGCGAGGTAGCTCACATGACAGGAGGCTAGGAAGGAGTACAGAGTGGTCTCCGGAAGAGGTGACGCATGGGCCCCAACAGGCAGGATGCAGTGGAATCAGAAAGGCCAGGGAGAGGGGGCATTTGCAGCAAGGACTGGAATAAGCACAGGGCTGGAGGCGGGAGGAGGAACATCGGAGGTTTTCCACACTGCGGAGCACTGCTCGGGTGTAGAATGAGAATGGGAGCTGGTGGGATTTAAGGCTGATGGTATGAGTGAGCGAGCACGTAATGCAGGGCCTTATATGCCCTGCTGATGAGTTAGACTTGCATCCTGTAGGAACCGGAAATGAAGAAAGGGTTTCCGATGAGGCAGAACAGCATTCGCATTGAGAAAGGGCACTTTGGCTGCAGCGTGGAAACTGACTGGCAGGGGCAACTCTAACGGCTTTGGACCACAGGCAGCGATGGCTGGTCCTGAATGCCTGGTTCGAGGACAAAGGGCAGGAGAGGATGGCACCGGAGCTGAATCTCGCCATCTGGGGAGACCTTACAGATGTCTCTGGGGTGTTTAACTCACTGTTTGCATTCATCAGGGGAACGAACCAAAGCTTCTGTAACAAACACGTCTAACGCTGCAGGCGCCCAACACAATGTGGTTTCATTTAGCATTTATTCACCGCTCAGTAAGCGGCCAGAGCCAAGCAGTGTCTTTTGTCCCTCAGCGCGTCCTGGCAGAATTCCTCCTTTGGGTCCCTTGAGAGGGATGTGAGATCATGGGGGTAAACCTCAGGACTAGGCTTGTAGGGAGCCCACAAACCTGCTGTCCACGGTCCTCTGCCAGAACCTGATCACACCAACCCCGCAGTTGCAGGGAGGGCTGGAGAACATGCTCTTTCTTAGTACAAGGTTGAAAAAGAAACCAGTGGAGCTCAGCTTTGTCTGAGCCAATGTATCTTTTTCTGCGATAGAAAACTCTGGAGGAAGAGCACCTTTGGGGAAGAAAGTTCAGCTGTGAACTTAGTGAGTTTGAGTGACCTATGGAACGTGCTACATCTATAGATGGAGACCCGGAAAATCAACTCTAAGTGTCAGAACTCAGACGACGATTCCGCACTGATGCTAGCCGTCCAGGGGCCGGCAGGTTATGCATGGTAGAGAAAGCAGGTGGATGTGTGGAAGCCCACGGGGGGGAGAACTCAGGGGGAGGGCCTTGGGGAAAATTAACTTCTAAGGGAAGCGCAGAAAAATAGGAGCTCGCAAAAGAGAATGAGAAAGAGTCGCCAAGACTGTATTGTCCCAGAAACAGAACCGTGGATTAAATGACTAAAGAAGTAGCAGGACATACTGTTTAGTATTGCAGAGAAATCAAGAGTTAAAACGGGAAAGTCCATTGGCTACAGGGAGAGTGTCCATCAACACCCACAGAGAGAAGAGTGTCAGCTGCCTGTTGGGGGAAGTTGCTAGATTCCAATCAATGGGACTAGAAGGTCGAGAGAGGGATAAGGTCAGTGAGATTAGATGTATCTTCCCAGTGTACCTTCTGTGTAGCTGGGGAAGAAAGAGGGTTAAAAGGAACCTTCTGCCATTTTTTCCTGCATTATTTTATTTTTTAAAGATTTTTAAAAATTTATTTATTTGACAGATCACAAGTAGGCAGAGAGGCAGGCGGGTGGCGGGGAGGGGAAGCAGGCTCCCTTCTGAGCAGAGAGCCTGATGCAGGGCTCGATCCCAGGACCCTGAGACCATGACCTGAGCAGAAGGTAGAGGCTTTAACCCACTGAGCCACCCAGGTGCCCCTTCCTGCATTATTTTAAAGAATGGAGAGACCTTCGCAATTTTAAATATTGATGAGAAAAAGGGGTTTATAGAGAGAACACAGTGGAAAAGCAGTGTGTAGTGGGATACCTGATGGTCCGAGGACTTGGAAGGGCTCAAGGAGAACAGATCCCAAAAGTGAAAGCGTCAGTTCGGAGAAGAGCAAGGCCATCGGCTCCTTTGCCCAGAGAGGTGCACGCTGGGGGTCATGAGGTATAGAGGTGCCCACATCTGGGATGGAGATGGGGGCATGGCCGAGCTTGCTGGAGTCAGACACGTTTGGAGGGATTGAGTATCAGCTTTTCAAAGGGTCAATACCCACTGTGTTTGGTTTTGCACAGGGGCACGCAGGATTCAGCGTGGAACAGGGAGTCCAGCACCGCTCTGATAAACGACTTTCCCTGTAGCAGAAATAGACTCGTGTGCACCACCAGAAGGGTCCACTGCTGGCTGGATGGCCCCAGCAAGCCAGTCGTGAGGCGTCCGTGGTGCCTTGTTTATCAGGCGTGCCTGACACTTTTTTTTTTTAAAGATTTTATTTGTAAACAATCTCTATATCCAACGTGGGGCTCAAACTCACAACTCCAAGATATCATGCATGTTTGACATTGTTAAGGTGAACATTGGGTCAAAGCTTATAAATATGTTTTAATGTATATACTTTTCAAATTTGGTAGATTTTTTTTTCAAGTTCCCTGAATGTTTTGCTGACTTTTGCACTCGTGGGGATGTGAGTTCATGTGTCTCCATATTGTCAATCGGGGATGTGATTTCATTTTAAGCTTCTGTTGATGGCAAAGTCTTATTGTTACTTTTATTTTTATTATTCCTACTTTTAGTAAAGGTTAACACCTTTCTATATATTGTTCAGCATTTTAATTTCTTTTTCTGTGTATTATGTGGCCATATCCTACTTGTATATAGGATTGTTTGTAAATTTTTTTGTCAATTCTTAAGTGTTCTTTTAATTTAGAAAAATTGCTATTTCCTCTTCTATGAGTAGTATATAACTTTTAGGTATACTTTTAAAAATTTCCCCATATTTCTTGCTAAGTTTAACCTCCCTTCTGGGGTAGGGGGGCTTTATGGTAAATCTGATATTTTCATTTCAGTTTAAGATGAAAACAGGAAACTGTGTTTTCATTTGGAGGCATCAATGGGACCAACCACTTTCTGACCTATGCTTCATAGTTTTTATTGTATTTACTATATTTGTATTTAATACCTGTTTTTTTTTCTTTTAATTCCATGGATTTAGGTGTAGAGTTATAACACCTGTAAGTGATCACTTTGCCACCTCCTTACCAGTTTCTCTTTTTTTCCTGCTCTCGCGTCTCTCTGGGTTGATGAGTAACTCCTGAAGAGAGTAGAGCGGGTGATGATGCCATCTGGGGCCTTCCTATCCCCGCTGCTCCCAGCAATTCTTTAAGCAGGAGGCAGGGTTTAACTTTACCCGTGTTCTCACCAATTAAGGAATGTTTAACTGCTCTTATTTTATTAAATGTTTTTCTTTAATCAGGCATCATGTTGGAATTTTGATGTCATTTTTGCATCAACAGAAATGATAAGACACGGTTTTCACTGTGCTGTTTATTGGTATCTATGATTGCGTCCATGAGTAAATCTCTGCGTGGAGTCGTTCTTCTTTTCATGTATGCTGGACTTTGTTTACCCTGCGAGGTACTGATGCGCTGCTGTGCTTTCTTCTCAGGGCTGCTGAAGCATCTTCTGATTCGCTCTTTCCTCCTGATGCCAGCAACTTCCCCGGAGGGAATCATAATGTCTCTCCCTGTGTTTTCCCCTGGCCTTCCAAATCGACAGTGAGACTCTTACTAGTGGGCTCAAAAATCTGAAGTCTTAAGGGAAAGGGCATCCTGAGAACTCAGGACTCTGAGTTCTCTCAATCTGAGGGCTCTCAGGTTCTCCTGGGATAATGGAGATAAGGCGAGGATATGAGGGTGGTTCCGGTGGAGTAGATAAGAGAGGTCATCACACTTCCTGTCAAAGAATGGACTCTTAGCTCTCCTTCTCAGTTTTACTTTTTTTTAATTTAAAGTTCCCAACTCACTGTTTTTTTTTGAGAAGTATATCATTAGTTTTTAATCTTCTCCCTTGTTTTGTTTTGGCATGCTTTCAGCTAAATTCCCAGGAAATGTCTAACTTAATTTAATCCATTCTCTTTTTTATTTGTTTTATTGTTGTGTTCATTTAATTAATTATTTATTTATTACTTAAAATAAGTAGACTCTGTGCCCAATGTGGGGCTTAAACTCATGACCCTGAGGTCAAGAATCACATGTTCTACCAACTCAACCAGCCAGGTGCCCCTCTACTCCAGTCCCATTTGACTTAACTCATTATTTAATGACATTAATGTTAGGTCAATGACTATTATCTGAACACTGAGCACTGAGCACCCACATCTTAAGTAACATCCTGTTACTTGGTGAAATACGTGTATCTTCCTCTCCTGGAAAGACTATACATCCTTCAAATTTCAGCAAAGTCAAGCCAGACCCTGTAAAAGGGATGAGGTTAACCACTCCCAGCCTGTGGCAGGAGTGTGAGTTGAGACTTTTTTTTTTTTTCATTTGGGCATGCATACAAAATATAGTGTGCACTTTATGTCCTTTGATTCAATAATGCCATTCCTAATTTATCCTAAGGGGACAATTAGAAATACTTAAACAGCTTTATAGAAGAAGGATGTCAGGGTGCCTGGGTGGCTCAGTCAGTTAAGCGTCTGACTCTTGGTTTCAGCTCAGGTCGTGATCTCAGTGTTGTGAGATCGAGCCCTGTGTTGGGCTCCATGCTCAGCAGGGAGTCTGCTTGATATTATCTCTCTCTCCCTCCTCCTGCAGTAGATAGATGGATAGATAGATAGATAGATAGATAGATAATAGATAAATGAAATCTTTTTAAAAATAAGAAGATGCCAATCCCCGTTCTATTTACAAAATTTAGAAGCAGCAAAAAAGAGAAAAAACAAAAAGCCAAACACTGGAATGATGCTTAAATTCAATCTGTGGTACATTGACATGATGGAATCTTCTGCAGCCAGGTTTGGGTTTTTTTATGTTTATTTTTATTTTTTAAAGATTTTATTTATTATTTGACAGACAGAGATCACAAGTAGGCAGAGAGGCAGGCAGAGAGAGGAGGAAGCAGGATCCCTGCTGAGCAGAGAACCTGATGAGAGGCTCGATCCCATGACCCTGAGATCATGACCTGAGCCAAAGGCAGACGCTTAACCCACTGAGCCACCCCCGCACCCCTTTTGGGTTTTTTTTAATTCTAAAAATGTTTACTAAGACATTAAAAGCTATCTTCTTGGAGAATATTTAAAAATTCAGGGGAACTCTTAGATTTTAAAGTGAAAAAGAGATTACATCTCTTAAGAACAGTAGGTCTCCAATTTTGTAAGAGAATTATCAGACAAATACACACCAATGTATTTCATGGGTGTCGGAGATATAAACACACTACGTTTTTAATATTTTTCTCAATTTCTCCACATTACTCATTCATTGTTATTATAGTAGTAGAAAAAATTAAAACTTTTCATAGAAGTGGGAAATTAATAAGCCCGGTTTAGGAAGCAGCCTGGGCATACAACTCACCAAGTGAAAAACAACTAGAAGGCAGCGTGGTGCTGCTTTTTCCCCAGAGTATGCAGTCTGGAAATCTTCTGGGTCTCCCGCAGTGATCAAATATTTCACTTTCAAAATCAGTCCTCAGCATGCGCATTTAATTGTTAGTTGAAGTGATGTACCAAGTCAATAGACTTGCACTGAAATACTCCCTAGTAAACAGGAGCTATCCAGTCTCGTGTTTTATAAGAAAGACAGCAGATGCCTACGTTTGAGAGCAGGAGAGAAGAAACTCTCCCTTCTTCTTCTTATTAGCTGGGCAAATCCGTAAAATATTTATGGATGTTATTCTGGGACCTGAATGACTGATAGGAAAGGTTAGAACTGGGGGCCTGAGTTAGGTAGGAGATCTTCATCAGACAGAAAAATGTAAGACCAATCGCAAGTTAGCACTCTTAAGTTTTCAAGGCTCGGTCTTAATTTTTTAATTTTTATTGAAATTTTAAAAAACAGAAAAGGACTTACTGTCGAATCAAAGCTGTCGTCATGAATTCTATTCACAGCATACATGGAAAAGGAACATGTCAGAACTTCTTTGAGTAAGTGGGTGGGTGGAGCTTCTTAGATCTCTTGTAACAAGCCATTCTGAATAGAAAAAGTGATAAAAAAGTGGGGAGGAGGGGTTATTTTAAAGTGTGTTTGGATCCTGTTTTGGGGGTACTACTTGGAAATTATTGGCTTTTGAAAATTATTACTGTAAATTAAAACTAAACTATATGAATGAAATTTGTCTTTTTCATCATCAAGAAATGTAAATTTGTTTCATGATCTAACTCCACAGATAGAGGTGGCCTTCCCTATCAGCCTATCCAAAGCAGATGTATGCTCATAACCTCCATGAGAATAGGCGCCTTCTTTCCAACATAGTCGTAACAAACATTTTAATATTCTTCCTCCTGTCTTTATTGTTCTTTTCCCCACTAAGATGTCTATTCCATGAACTCGGCTTGTCTGCTTCTTATGAGAACTTGTGTACTCATTATCTATGAGTATCTATTATATTATGTATCTATTTGACAGAAGAAGAAATGAATGACCATGCCACGGAGTCAGTGACATTTAAAATCCATTCAGATGATCACGTGTGTAAGGAGATTATTTTAATCTCTTCAATGGAAAAGTAATTTCGATAATAATAAGAAGAAAACTGGATTTAAAAGATATGATAGGGAGGGCATAAACTTTATTTTTGTCAATCTAAGGCAAAAGACCTTGTATTTATCTGTCAGTGGAATTATAAAGCCCCATCCCAAACCAAACAGTTTCTCCTAGACCAGAGCGAGCCTTGGAGACTTCCTGTTGTTCAGAATGCACTTGAAGAGTGTTGGTGATAAAGACAGAGGAAATGTGCAACTGTATTTATTATTCCTACTTTGAAACATAAAGTCTAAACTTCTCTAATAGTCACTTTTGTTTCTTTTTATGACACAAACACTAAAGCAGAACAGTGAAATTAATAGTTGCTTCTGAAGAAGGCTCAATGCATTTTCCAGTTCTGTCTAGTGGGAAGGCTAGACCAGGCATCTTCAGAAGTATTGCCTCTTGAGGTTTTTTCCATCAGTGACTCTCAGGTTTCTAATAAAATTTCTGCTGTGTCTCTCAATTTCTGGTAATCACTGGGAGTCAGTTTGGGGTGTTACTTAAGGATGTAGACTTGGGGTCCGACTCCCCAGTCTGAAGCCATGTGACTTTAGGCAAGTGACTTCTGTCAGGTTCTATTATAAAGTGAGAATTAGCAACAGTAGCACTAATGTGAGGATTCAGCATGGGTGCGTTTGTGGGTACAATTGGAACAGTCACCGTACGTGACAGTGTTGATGTTTCTGGGGCTGATATTATCCGGACTGTTCTCTCATTCTCTAGGAAGCCACCGCTCTCCTTGAGAGCTACTGAGACGGTCAAGGAGCACATGTGCTGAGTGACCTTCAGGGCCTTTCTTTGTCATATTGCCGGAATTTTCATGTCTCTTTGACGGCTCCTTTTCTCTCGCCCCAGGAAGTTCCCAGATGTGCACCTGCTCACTGACCTCGCCTGTTGCCCCAGGAAGGACCATGGCAGCAAGACACACAGTAAGGGAGCTCTGTGGTCCTTTTTGCCCAACAGATAAAAAAAGAATAGTGGGACTAGTGCAGTGACAATCAAAGTTTTCAGGAGTGGCTCGATAGATGGCAGTGGAATTCAACCTGAATTTGTGGAAGCTAAAGATTATTTTGTAGAATCCAGCATTAATCATGTTACCAGTTCACACACTTGCACCAGGCAGGGTCTGAGGGTTTTACATGGATAAACTCACCGGGTCTCTTAACAAACTCACCAGGCAGTTGCTGTTATTATGCCCGTTTTATGGATAAGCCAACCGAGACTCAGGCAGTCGAAGCTCTGACGTTAAGTGGCAGAACTATGGAGACATAGCGCATGCCCGCAGGCAGGACGGCGCCGCTCAAGCCATGAGTTCACGAACACGTGCATTTACACACGTAGGTGTGTTCACAAACACGTGCATTTGCAAATGCTAACCCAGAATATTCCTCTGCACGAGGAATCTTCTCGGAGGCATCACGATGTTTATTGGACCTCGTGCTGCCTTATTTTTCTTCTGACAGAAACAGGGAATTTTGTGCGGCGGCATCCCACACACCCCACGGTTTATCCCGCATAGTGCCTGTCCATTCGCTATCCTGACCGCTTCACGGCTAGTCTTTTAACCTACTTCTTGGTGTAAACATCAACAGCGGTCTGAAGTATTTCCCTGAGTATCACGCCTGTGGCAGGCCACGTCCAGACCTCCTCTCAGACAGGGAGAGCAGACCTGGAGACACAGTGGGAACTGAAATACGGAAGGACCCAGGTTGTACCGATCGATGCGTAAAGGGATGCCCACCGAGCGCTCCTTGGCCATCTGCCGGCTCGCCCCATCATTTCAGCGACGGCGGGTGAAAAGGTGGCAGATCCTGCACACTTCAGGTCATCCTGGCGATCCGGGTGAGAAACAATTGGGCGACTGCCCCCGTCTGTGCACTTCAGGCAATCCCTTGCATCCCGTAAGTGTTCACCAGGGAAGAAGGTGAGATGGGAAGCTCCCGCCTGGCACCGGCACCGTGAATCCCAGATCTCCTGGGATCCTGCACACTCTGCATTCACCGGTGTGATGATCGTCCGAAGTAAAAGTAACCAGAGCCAAGTTAGGCGTTCTCGTTGTTCTGGAAACCAGACCCCGTGGCTGGCGGCCGTCTCTACTCATTGCTGCTCTGCATTGAAAATAACGATGTGTTCTGACACCAAATCCACACATTATTAGACATTATTGATGATCTCTTTAAAATGTTACTCTACTACATTTGTTTTTGTCTTCAAACAAATTACAAATTACCAGAATTTTTTTATATATATAAAGGTAGGATAAGGGTCCCTATCATTGTGAAATGAACATCGGAGTCATTTCGGTCGCTAAAGCCTTTTACAACTCTTCCACATTAAACATGAAACGATCAATAAAAGCAAGGCTGAGGTGACTGTGAGCACATCAGTCAGACAGAAGCCTGGCTACTCCGGCATGTTAATTATTATTCTAGGAGAGCCATTACATTTGGGGGAAAAAATGGGTAAGTCCAAACACATAACTCTATGAATTCTCTCATGAAACTTATTTCTTTTTGTGGCTGACATCTAAAGTGTATGGCCCTTCCTCATTCCTCACAAAACT